GGCCAGATCAACGCGCAGCTGCAGCGCGTGCTGCGCATGCGCGAGGGCTGCGACCGCCGGCTGGGCGAGGTGCGCAAGGGGCTGCTGATCAACGAGCAGAGCACGCGGCTGCGGAGCTTCCGCCACGCCTCGGAGAAGGTGCGGGGGGGGGGGCGGGGCGCACCCCAGGCGAGGAGGGGGCAGGCCCGCACCCCCCTTCCCAGCGCCAGGGACGGCTGCCCGGCCACGCTGGAGGCCGAGAGCAGGAGGATCGCGACATGAGGCTGGTCAGAGCCTGGTGGCTCTGCCGGGAAAACCAACCCCAGAGGGGGGTGCGGTTAAAGTGGTTCAACCATGCCCTGAGTTCAAGTCCCCAGTGTTGTCGAGGAGGAGGGAGGGAGGGAGGGCAGCCAGACCCTGTGATGTTGGAGAACCCTCTTTGGTCAGTCATGGGGCTTGAACCCTGGGCCTGGACGCTGTCGCTCAGCTCTCGCAGCTCAAGGCAAGCGCTCTACCACTTGTGCACAGCACCATTTCCGGTTTTCTGGTGGTTGATTGGAGATAAGAGCGCTTGCCTTGCATGCACGAGGGCCTGGGTTCAATTCCTCAGCACCACATAAGCAGAAAAAGCCGGAAGTGGCTTTATTTCCCCCTCCACCCAAGGTTGGTACTCTGCCACTTGAACCCACAGCTCCACATTCAGGTTTTCAGTGATGAATTCTCCAATAAGAATCTCATTAAATGACTTCCCTGCCCTGGCTGACTTGCACCTAGGATCCTCAGATCTCAGCCTCCTGAGTAGCTGAAGATTACCAGTGTGAGCCACCAGTACCACCCACCCACCCCCCTTGGTGTTTAGATTCCTGACAGAGTGGACAGCACGCTGAAATGGGAGAAAGAGGAGCTGAAGGCCATGAAGAGGAAAATGGAGGTGGACATGGAAAAAACAGAGACCTTACTCAAGGTCAGGTGCCTCCTGACCCTTGTTAGGCAGAGGCCGAGTTGTTGGGGGCTGGGGAAGGGACCCCTCCCCCAGCTGTCCAGGGGCTAGCTCACTCAGACGCCGAAGACTGTACGAATGGCAGATCCATGCACCCACGTGGCACTCCTGGCGGTGGTGGTGTCTTCGCTTGGCAAAAAGGAAACACACAGCCCTGAGAGGTGGGGTGTGCCCCACCCTGCGCCGTCCTTCAAAACTGTGAAGGGCTGAGCGCATCATCCTGGCTGGATGAGAGACAGAGACAGGCTCACGGATTCCCTGCTCTCCCGGCCCCCAGACTCTGGCCACCTGCCGCGACACGCTGGGCTTCTACTGTCAGGAGCGGCTCCAGGCCGCAGAGCTCATGAACCAGCCTCTGGACAAGGTCCTGGAGCAGGCCGGCCGCCACTCCTGGGTGGACCTCTCCCGAGCCCCTACCCCTCGAACCCAGGGCCTGAAGACACCGCCTCCCGACCCTGTGGGTGCCTACACCCCAGGTAGGCCCCACAGAAGGGAGGACTCTGTTACAGCGCGTGCGCGTGTGCGTGTGTGTATGTGTGTGTACACTAGTCCCAGGGCTTGTGTGTGTGTGTGTGTGTGTACACTAGTCCCAGGGATTGAACTCAGGGCCTGGGTGCTGCCCCTGAAGGGTTTTTTGGGGGGGAGCACAAAGTTGGCTCTACCACATGAACAGCTCCACTTCTGGCTTTTTGGTGGTTAATTAAAGATGATCTCAACCAGGCGCTGGTGGCTCACACCTGTCATCCAAACTACTCAGGATCCAAACTACTGAGGATCACGGTTCAAAGCCAGGGAAGTCCATACGCTCTGATCTCCAATGAACCACCAGAAAACCAGAAATGGTGCTGTGGCTCAAGTGGTAGAGCGCTCGCCTTGAGCTCAAGAGCTGAGGGACAGCGCCCAGGCCCAGAGTTCAGGCCCCATGGCTGACAAAAAAAAAAAATCTCCCAGACTCTTCTGCCCCGGCTGGCTTTGAACCTTGATCCTCAGATCTCAGCCTCCGGAGTCGCTAGGGTGACAGGCGTGAGCCACCGGCCGCCAGCAAGCGTCGTCAATCCCTGGCCCTGCAAGAGTTCACTCTGTTTCTCCCCCTGGACACTCCTCTCCATGTTCAGCCACAGATTTTGCTTCAACAAACAAAATCCCTACTCAGGCGGTTGCCCGTGTGCAACCTCTGTGTGAGGGGTGAGGGGGCAACAGGAGAGGAAAAAGAGGGAGAAAGAGAGAGAGAGAGGAAAGGGGAAGAGGAGGGGAGGGAAAAGGAGGAGGAGAGAGGAAGGGAAAGGGAGGAGGAGAAAGAAGGAAGAGGAGGAGGAGAATTGGAGGAGGAGGAGAAAGAAGAGGAGAGGGAGGAAGAAGAGGAGGAGAAGGAGGAAGTAGAAGTTGTTGAGAAAGTTGAGTGGCCAGGTAACAGTGGCTCACACCTGTCATCCCAGCTACTCAGGAGGCTGAGATCTGAAGATTGTGGTTCAAAGCCAGCCCGGGCAGAAAAGTCCGCAAGACTCTTGATCTCCAATAAACGACTCAGAAACACCAGAGTGGTGCTGTGGCTCAAGTGGGAGAGCCTTGAGCCCAAAGAGGCTCAGGGACAGCGCCCAAGTTCTGATCAAGCCTCAGGACAAGGGTGAAAACAATGGAAGTGGAGCTGTGGCTCAAGTGGTAAAGGCACCATGCCTAGGCCCTGAGTTCAAACCCCAGGATGGGCACAAAAGAAGAGGAGGAGGACGGGAGGGATGGCAGGGCCAGGGAAGGAGGAGGCCCACCCCCCACCCCTGCACCCCCAGACTGCGCGGCGGCCCTGTTCGAGGCCAAGCGCCTGCTGATGGAGTCCAAGGAGGCGCTGGCAGAGCTGGAGCGCGGCTCCAGCGGCCTGGACGAGCAGCAGCGGCAGATCGGGAACCGCGTGAACAACACGCTCCTGCAGAAGATGCGGGAGACGCTAGAGCTGAAGGTACAGGGCTGGGGCGGGGGGGGGGGGGGGCAGGGAGAGAGGGTTCCCCCAGGGGAGCGGCCTGCTGAGGGCGTGGGCCCCCCACACCCACGACCCCCTGCCCCCCCCGCACCCCAACCCCCAGGAGCGGATAAACATGACGCTGGGCCTCATGCGGGGCACCATCCACCGCTGCACCAAGTTCAGCCAGGAGATGTACGTGACGTGCGGGATCATCAAGGTACGCACACACCCACGGGGGGACAGGTGCGTGGGGCCTGCGAGGCTCAGTGTCCCCGCCCCCCAACACTCTGCCCCCCACTCCCGCCCCAGGGGCCTCTGCTGAAGACTCACATGGAGGCCCGAGAGAAGCTAGACAGACCCCTGGTTCGAATGTACCAGAAGCACGTGGGCACGCAGCTTCCCGAGGCCACACGCCTGGCTCAGGTAGGTGCTCGCCAACCCCTGACGGGGTAAGGCGCACCCCACCCAGCCCCCCACCACGGACAGGAGCCATGGCTCAAGGGGTAGAACGCAACGTCCCAACAGCGCAAGGTCCCGAGTTCACAACCCCGCACTGCCAAGAGAGAGGAACTCGGCACGATCACCATGCTGCCTTTCAACCCCACCTCCCAGGAGACTCCTTTTCTGTTTGTTTTTGCTCTGGGGCCTGGAGACTTGAACTCAGGGCCTGGGCACTGTCCCTGAGCCTTGTTGTGGTCATTTTGCTTACGGCTGATGCTCTACCACTTGAGCCACAGCTCCGCCTCTAGCTTTTGTTGGTGGTTCACTGGAGATAAGGATGTCTCCACAGCCTTGCTTGCCCAGGCTGGCTTCGAACCCCAATCCTCAGAGCCCCCTGAGTAGCTGGGATGACAGGCGTGAGCCACCGTGCCCAGCTCTATTCAGCCCTCTCTGGCAGTGCCAGGGGCCGGGCAGGGTCCACCGGCCCAGGGCCTGGCCAGAACACAGCAGGGCCTCTCTCCTCCCCTCTCCCCGCTTCCCCTCCCAGGGCACCGACCAGCTCCATCAGCACAACACGCTCATGGAGAAGAACTTGAAGGAGCTGCTGGCCACCCGGGACAAGCTGGCCGGGTGCCTGGGCGCCAAGGAGATGGGCTACCAGATAGACCACAGCGTGGTGCGCCTGCGCCGGCGCCAGCAGAACCCGCACGTGGGCTACGAGCAGGCCCAGCAGCTGGTCCACCACTGAGGCCCAGCGCCCCCCTCCCCTCCCCCTGCCCCCTCCCCCTCCCAGCCCCCCTCTGGCAGAATTATAATTAAAAAGGCTATTTATCATGTAAACCTATTCCAGAAAGCTATTAGGAAGGCTGGGGGGGGGGGCACCAGACGCCCTGGAGGTTCAAATCTCAGTTGCCTGGCTTCTTTAAGCTGTGCCGCTTTGGGACACCATCATCCCTCTCTGGTCTCGGTCTCTCCAACCTACAACAAGACAAGGACACAGGGTCCCCATCCTGGTCTATTTAACACCATGGGTTCCGCTCCCCCCTCCCTTTCACATTTTTACTGGATAATTTTCTATTTAAAACGCCCCCATAGGACTGGGAAGGTGGCTCATTGGTAGAGTGCGGGCCTAGCGTGCATGAAGCCCTGGGTTCGATTCTTCAACACCACATAAGCAGAAATAAAAAAAAAAGGTTCTTTTTTTTTTTAAAAAAGCATGGTCATAAAAAAAGTCATCTCATAATAGCAACAGACAGAATATGTTAAAAATATTTCTAAGAACATGGAAGTGTGGTTCAGGTGGCAGAGCACCTGCCTGGGAAGAGTCAGGCCCCAAGTTCACACTACTTCACACACACACACATACACACACACACACACATACACACACATACACACACACACACAAAAGGGGCTGGGAAGGTGGCTCAGTGATAGAGGGCTCACATGCATGAGGGCCTGGGTCCGATTCCTCAGTACCACATACACAGAAAAAGCCAGAAGTGGCGCTGTGACTCAAGGGGTAGAGTGCTAGCCTTGAGCAAAAGAAGCTCAGGGACAGTGCCCAGGCCCTGAGTTCAAGCCCAGGACTGGCAATAAATAGCCTCATATAAAGTGAGCATAAACAAGGGTGTCTCGCTGGATAAACTGCACATCAGTCTGGTCATTTAGGTCGTGAAATAACAGTGAAACCCCTTGGAATAATTCATATACACTTTTAAAAACAGACAAGGTAGACAGATCCTGTCTGGGCAAAAAGTCCTGGAGACCTCTTCTCAATAGCAGCCGGGCACAGCAGTGCAGACATGTCCCAGCCACCTGGGAAACACAAATGAGGAAGATCTGGCTCACATGCAAGATCATGTGCAAAAAATGAAGTGTGTGTGTGTGTGTGTGTGTGTGTGTACGTTGGTTCTGCTGCTTGAACTCAGAGCCTGGGCGCTGTCCCTGAGCTGCATTTTGCTCAAGGCTAGGGCTCTACCACTTGAGCCACAGCGCCACTTCCAGTTTTTGAGTAGTTAGTTGGGGATGAGAGTCTTAGGGAGACTTTCCTGCCTGGGCTGGCTTCAGACCGCAGTCTTCAGCTCAGCCTCCTGAGTCGTGGGATGACAGGCGTGAGCCACCGTGCCCGGCCCTCCCTGTGTCTTTGGACCGGCCTGCACCTCCTTTTCCTGGGCCTGTGCAAGGCAGCGTCACCCGTCCCCATTCCCAGAACCTTTGCGTGAGGATGCAAGCAACGTCTTGTCCCGCGGGTGGAAGCCTGCCACCCTCGCCCGGCTGACACAGCCCCAGCTGTCACCTCGGCGTGCACGTCACCCAGGCAGCATTTGCACAACCCCCAAAGTTGCCTCAGAGCCGAGATTTCAGCTCGGTGGCCTCCCCAGGTGTGGGCTTT